AGCAAGTGAGAGACATTTACTATGTTCCTATTTAAATACGTTAACCTGCCAACTTGGAGACAGGGTATTGTACACAAATTTTGTTGAATGGGGAAGAGACAGTTAATTGCTCTTAATTATGGTATGAGCCGTGAGGTAAATAAATATCCCATGGCTGAGCCTGCATTCATTGACAAAGTTCTCTTTTTACACCTCAAGGAAATCACGGTCAACAATGAAGTGTGTTGCTGGGATTGCAAAAGACAATCACGGCACCGTCGAGACTGCAGTATAATATGCTCGTGAGTCTTGGCGAGATCACGGGAGATGATCACGATATAGCTGAGACCACCTGACCACATGTGTTTACGCAATCGTGGGAGAATATAATTGGTGTTTGCTATAAAAAATAATAATTTTCAAAAACGTATGCTGGCTTTCTGCTGGCTGGAATAAAACTGCACGAGGGCCGGATGTAGCCCACAGGCTGTAGGTTGGAGACCCCTTCGTTAGGCATTTTTAAGACCTATTTTTTTACTATACCTGTACTTTATAATTAAATTTGTCGATAAGGCATTGAGTTCTTGACAATAAAGAAAAAAGAGATGGATAAAACCGCAGATTAAGTTTTGCTCATTTGCATAGCCTGTCACTGAAAATTCACAAATTTGAAAAGAAAACATCACAGTAGTTAGATGTCGGCCTAATCTGTTAATTATAATAAAATTTAAGTTCTATATTAGGTAATTAGATAAGCAATCTTTTCTTTAACCTAAATTATAAATAACACAATAAATTTACCTTGCATCAATCCTAAACTTTGCTGGGCGAAGCCAATTCTTGATTATAGTAGCAACAACATATATTTCCATTACACCACGATCCTAGTGTTCTTGCGTACCGGTTCTGCCTCTGTATAAAAGAGATTAGTATTAGCACTAGAATTTGTATATATTTTAATTTTCCTGATCAACACCCAGGATAGCCTACAACTAGGTACACATATTAAATTGTTAGTGAAATCTATTTTATATTTTGATGGCATTTGCTTCTTTTGAGTAGCCTTGTTAAAGCTAAATCTAAAAATTGAAAATCTAAAATTGAAAATTTTGACCTAGGTAGTGGTAAAAGTAATCCTCAGTCACTTGAACGGACAAATATTGGGGTGAGCACTGACTGAAATGAGTGCAACGGTCGGATGTAGTTTGGTGTGTGTATAGGCCTATGTGTGCGTTTAAAAAAATTCAACTAATACAGTTTTCTTTTACACAAGTTAGCACTGCCAGAATATTTATATAGTGTAAATCAAAGACTTCCTATATAAGTGGGTCACAAAAAAGAGAAACTCTCTTAACTGTGTGATGAACCTTAGGCTACGTTATTACCCAATAGGTACCTATCATGAAATAGGTTGTGTTTTGGTGGTAGAGCCTAACTTATCTACAGTTCCTAAGAGAACCTGCGATATATTATCGGACGGTATATATATCTGATTTGATATTAATATTGCATAACCAATTCACCAAATCTGCAAATCATAACTCAATTTGATGTTTACATAGTGAAAAAACATAGGGAACGATGTATTGAATCGGATAATTATTGATATATAATGTTATTCATCCGATAATATATCGCAGGTTCTCTGCGGAACTGTACCAGTTATGGCAAAAAAGACATACACAGTCATGGCGAATCAAACAGAAAAATTTAAATAAAAACACCTAAGATTGAAACTTTATTTTAACTTTGAGAAAACCTAATTGAAATATATGTATGTCTACCTATTATTAATGTCTGATTGTAAATAAAAAAAAAACTTACGCAAGATAGCTGGCTTCAGATGCAGATTGCAAAAGAAAAATTTATTCCTCCTTCCCAGCCTACAGGCTGCTAGACAGCCACTTTGTCACTCGGGAGAATTGGTACCGTAGGCAAATTATTCACTGCTACCAAATAATAACTTCCACCAAAGCTGCAGAGTTATCAACTGAAACAATGGAGAGAAAACTACTTTTAGTTAAATTCATGCATACCTTTCTCTGGCCTAAATATGTATCAAGATTAGTTAGGCCTAATCATTGGTTGGTAAAGGAAGCAGACAACAACTAAAATACAAAAGACTAAGGACAATACAGGGGTAGACTTTCGTATCTGTTGTCAAAAACAACCGAATGAAAATATCGATCGTTATAGCCTATGTTCATTCAGTTGTTTTTGACAACAGATACGGAAGTGTACACCAATTCAGTTTAAAAGGAAAATGGATTTCAAATAGGCTAGGCTATTTCTTTTATAATACCGGTAAATTGTAACCTGGTTGAGGTAGAATATGTTAGGCCTCGGCTAGCCTAAATTAAGTTAACTTATTCTTGATGGTGAATTTACATAAACTTAATTTAGTGACTGACGTAAAATATAACCCACATAACTTAGTAATATTTCAAAATTAGCCTAACAAGGTATTACAACACAGCATGGTATTCCATTTGCCTTGTAAACCAGTAAGTTAGTCCTACTTACTAGCCTATATATTGAACACTATTTTCATCCGGAAGTTGCCCTTTGAAGCTAAATAAACTACTGGTTCAGTAAGAACTAAGCAAGCCGCCTAACTTAGTAGCTTACGCCTAGGCCTAATTAGTATGCAGAAAAATACTTCCTCTAAAACAGATTGCCTATTTTGAGGTTTCAGATTTATCTATTTATACTTAAGTTAAGGCATTAGGAATGATAAGTTGGCCAATTTAATTTGTACAGTAGCTTAACTTAGGTCTAGGTAAGGCCAAGGCCTAAAATACGTCTATGTTACTAGGTATAGTGACTTATACTTACATACTCCAAGGATCAAAACGTGAAAAGATGTTCGGTGTAGGTTATGCCAATACCCAGTCACAAAAATAACAACTCTAAACTAACAGTGACACACACTAAACAAAATATCAGCACACTTAACTGATTTGAGGTTATGTCTTGTTCTTGAATCTTGATACTCTTGTTGCTTCCATAGTTTATTTTCACTACTTGTGTAGCCTACTCAACAAGTTAGTTGTCATAGGTACATTTTACATAAATCGTGTACTTTCCCTCAAAATGGGCAATTTGTTGGTTAATAAATAAATAAATCCACACCGTGAGTAAACTGGCCACCACTGGTCGCGCGACGGATTTTGTAATTTGTTTTGTATTGTAATGTTTTGTTTTGTTTGCTGAGTTAGGTTAGAATTAAGTTGGTGTTTTCGTTTTGTCTTCAGTCTTCCTCTCTTCCTTTCATACGAATGGGCCAAGTCAAGCTCAAACTAGATACTTAACATATTTTTAGAGTTATATTTCACTTAAAAAAAATTAAATTTACGTTTGGTTTAATTTACCAGTAAAAATTAAATGATAAGGCTAATCGTTAAGAGTTTGACTTTTTTATTAATAAACAAAACTTTTAAAAAAGCTGTGTTTCCTATTCACTCTTCTTGAAATGTGTAGTAAGCCTAGATTCAGAAAAATATCAGATGTTCCAACAACTCCCCCCCCCCCGCGAAAAGTCAAAATCCATCATCAATTAATTAAAAATTACAGTGTTCAGTGTTCCTTCCTATTATTAATTATTTTGAGATAATTGACCTCCGACCTCCATGTTACAAACTGGGGCCCATTTCATAATAAAGTACAAACTAATATTATTAGTAAATCAGCTGATTGCCCAATGCAAATCTAATGGAAATTACAAGTTACAAGCTGTAACTTGTAGTTTATTATGAAATGGGCCCCTGTAGGCTGGGGACTAATTCTTTACTCTAAAAAATTTAAAAAGTTAAGTCTAAAAATTTTTAAAACTAGTATATTTGGAAATTTTCAAAGAGAAAATCAAATTTTTAACATTAAGAATGTTTAGATAATATTCTAAATTTGATGTTATTTGACTTTGATATTTTGAAGATACAATAAATATTCAAAGTTTGACATTGTTTGACTTTGACATTTTGAACATTAAATGAATATCAAATAAATATCAAATTTTTGATTTGACATAGTTTGATATATTGAACGTTTATTTGATATCAAATAAATATTCTGTGCTATGTGGGTTTGGTCTGCCAACCTCGTTTCCGAGCGTTCTACCTTGTTTTGCAAATTGTTGGTAAACTGACAAAGAATACTCGTTAGTGTGACAATCCCATGACAAAGAAAAAGGCAAAATATTATCACCATCACTTTATAAAAGGGGTATCCCATTGTTTAACAACAATATGACTTAAATCAATCTTAAAATACTCAAATCACAGTGGTTCTGAAGTAAAGAAGAATGTCTTATTTGCTGAGCAGTTTTGAGCAAACAAAGCATTGTTGTGTCAATGCATTGTGGTTCTCTAAATCTAAATTATGATTAAGAACAAAATTCCAATGATTTACCAACAGTCATATTATTCCCCTGTTATGTGATAATATTGTAGATTCTCAATAAAACAAAATTTGTTCAGGTGAAATTTAATTCAACTAATTTACACCATAAACCAGATTAGAGTGATGATTAAAATAATCAAAATCATTTTTATAATTTCTGGTACATTTCAAAGGTGCACGTTTAAAACATCAGCAACACTCTAATAAATCAATCAATACACATAAATAAACTAATTTTAGATCAAAGTATTCCTCTTTTCCATTATTAAAATTACTTAAACATAATTTAAATCAATCCTACTTACAGTTTTGCTACCCTTATTGGTGATTTTGTACATGGTCTCAATGGAGCTTTCTGATTTGGGGAGAACTGAAATAGTAGTTTTCATCACTAGGAGCGAAAGTGGCTTTTTTTGGTACAAAACCTTCAAACGAGGCGCAGACGATGCTCTTGGAAATATAATTGAGTACCAAAAAGACACTTTTGCTCCGTGTGATGCACAACTTTTTTCATCAAACTGTGGAAATAACCTTCCAGTCGTTACAAAATTAGACCACATAATTTGAGGTTATAAAAAGTCCATCGATATGGGCTGGGGGAGAAGGGGGGGGGGGGATTGAGCCCGTAATGAGACCCCATGTCAATCACATTTTTAGTTTTTGTAGTAAAAACATAACATTTATAAAGCAAATTTGGGTACAAAAATTTGTAAAATCAACCATTTTGTACCAACATTTTTAGCTATTCCGTACCCCCTAGCACCCCTTGAGTGAAAGCTAGATGGATTCACTCCCCAGCAATGCCAGTTTGGCGTGTTTTCCTTGAAAGCTTATACATTACAATGGTGAATCTAGAATCTGATTTTTAAAATCTTAGATATTGCCTGATTTTCAAATACCCACAAGTTAGTGAACGTAACAACATTTTCTTTGGCCTATCTCTAAGTGTGATGAAAGGGCTATGTTTAAAATATGCCACATATGTATTGTCATTTATTAGAGGGTATTATGTATGTCTTGAAACATGCTTTGAATCAGTTGCATTTCCTAGATCATCTTTTTAGATTGATTTTGTATTGGAACCTCTTATCAGGCTTTGGTCCTATATGTCATAAAAAAATAAAATATTGCTACTCCTCGGTACTCTTTAGGAGTATAAGAGTTACTAGTAGAAACTTTGATTGGTTAAATACCCGATGGGTATTTATAAAAAATACAAATGCTAGCAGTGTTTTATAACGTTTATTGAATTTAACATATAAAATGAGTAAAAAGAGACGATCATTTGTTGGTTGGAGGGTATAATTTGTGGTGAATTAAAACCTCGATAAACTTGTGACAAACACCCATATGCCAAAAAGGGTGGGTATTTATGATTAGCGGGTATTTATGTTTTGAAACTTTTAAACACTGGTTGTATAGATTTTTTGGAGGACCCATCATATTGAAAAGGTAATAACTTTAGTACAAAATCTTTTAAAATTATATAATCAAAAAAGTGCTATATGTTTACAAAATAGTGGGTACCAAACCCATAAACTCTTAAAGAACTCTTACAAAGAAGTATTGTTATTACATTTTTGTTATTAATGAATTTCCCTATAGGTAGCTATTAGATAAGTCACAATCTAACGGTAGCTATTACCGTAGGTGGCATGGTAAGACCTAGGCCCAGGACGGATACAATTTTTAATTTTGATGTCCCCAGAGTCCAAAAACACCACCCGTTCAAATTTTTATACATGTATATACAGGGTGTCAATAAAAAACGTTTCAAGACTTTGGGAAATGAATCCTCATAGTAAAAGGCAGAAAAAAGTGTATGTCAAGGTATGTCCGAAAATGCATATTTACCCAGATATCCGTAATTTTTTTTTATAAAAAAATATTTTTATCTGTGAAGTTTTTCATTTGATCATTATGAAATTTGGTAAGCATGTTAACATTAGCCTATTAGCCTATAGAAAAAAAGTTGGTCTAATTGTAAATTTCAAAATGCCGGCTGTTTGAATTTTTATAGATTAAATAACTCAAAAAAGGCTAATTCTATAAAAAAAATGTCGAGAATACTTTTTTGCATTTTTGATTCCCTATCGAATAATCCCAAGATCAAAAGGATTGGACGACAAGTAACTGAAATAGAAAGTTTTTTAATTGTAAGATCAGGCAAAATTTAGTGTTCCCCGGCAAACTTTGCCTTTTTTATTTTTTAAATTTGTACGCTAATAACCTTGGGAAACTTTTGCAGCTTAATTGTTGCAAATTATGTGAATGGTGAATTATCAAAACCATTGACGTCAAAACTATTAACGTCAACTATACAAAATGTACATTTTGTAATTTGTTACAAAAAATTCTTGATTAAAAACAAAATTGTTTCTATAATAATGAAAAATAAATAAAAATCATTATTTGAATCTGTAATGAAAAAGTCAAGTCTAGAGCTTGCTTTACTTCGTCCATCAGGAGCAAGACTTCAAAGATGATCTGGACTTTGATCAGGTGAATAAGAACTCAGATTTCAGTACGCTTTTCTTTGAAGCTGCAATTTCTGCTTTTCAAATAATGCCTTAAATAATGCTTCAACCTTCTGCTTTTCAAACGCTGAAGTTTCTATTTCCCGTTACCACAAGACTAAGGTGTTGAATCTATGGTGGTTATTTTTGCTGAAAACCTCTTGGTACTAAGCCAGCCATTCTGTTTCATGCATTCTTATCTTTTACTTTTGCAGGTTTTATAAACATTCGTGCTGACTTATCTTCTACTCTTAAGATCTTATTAAATTTATTTCCATTTCTGCTACCTCATCTTAAAATAAATTATCTGTTTTTTATTGTATATTCCCCGAGAGCAAAATGAACTGTGTACTATTGCATGGATTTTCTGTTTACTTTTTGTCTTGCTCGTAAGCCGTGTTTACACAATTCCAGTAGAGCACACAGGTTACGGAGCAGGTTATGTGTCTCTAGTGTATAGTTACCTGAGGCAAGTAACATATACTCGTTTACTGGCCTCGTGCAAACACGGCTATATGATAATTCTATCTATTTTTGTTCACTAACTTTGTTCTAGATACTAACCTAATGATAATACAATTTAGTAGGTACCTATATTATCCTTTAAACAGACCTGACATGGGGATTATTGACAAAAAAAAAACATTACAAGATCCCTAGGTGGATAAGGGAAGTTGATATTTGAGGGAAATAATAGTCATTTGTTAATCTTTAGATTATTGTTGAATAATTCTGACTAAACTTTGTATTTGATCATTTCCCCTTAAATAATGAATCTTTATGTATTCAATTCATCAAATATTTATGTACCAAAAGTACTACACTGTTAGTATCCAACCATCAACAAATCCTAACAGTTTACAGTGTCAAAATTATTTTGAATATTATTTATGGCCCTGATAATTCTTTGGTCGCCTGGACAAAAAAGGACTGAATCAAACAGACAATCAACATATATTTTACGTTTTAGGAAGGAGAAGAGGGAGAAGAAGGAGAAGGAGGTGAAGGAGGTCAATTAGAAGGTCAACCGGGGGAAGGGGAAACTCCTCCAGTTGTAGACGAACTTTCAGGGGTTCCTCCAACTGAGGGTGAGTTACATTCAGATTCTTACATAGAGTCTTTGTGACTATTAACAAATTTTAACATTTTTTCGAGTTAAGACCCATCTGTGTGGCGAGAACAAATAAATTAAAAGGTTAGAAAATAATAAAAAAACATGGGAAATTTGCTGAAAACAACAAGAACTGTGACAATGGTTAAAATTGCCAAATAAATATTAGTTTCTCCGTTGTCAAACCAATTAAGACTTAAAGTTTGCTTTTCTAGTGATTCACAAACTTTTTTGGAATTTGAAGTTATCATCACAAATAACATTTAAACACCAATCAAGTAAAATACTACTACTGTACCTGTAAAATATAAGATAAAGTGATACCGGTACATTACTTGTCCATTCATCCACAAGGTCGTTCTAAACCTGCGTTTACACGAAGCCAGTCGGCAGGCAGATTACAGGACTAGTTACAGGTTCTAGTGTATTTCAAGTTTCTTGAGGCAAGTAACCCACCTGCCAAACTTTGTGTAAACACGGCTTAAGACATGGTAGAAGAGTAGTAGGTTTGGATGTTGACAACAGTGAGCTAGTAAGCTAAAGGTAAAACAATCAGAGAGTACATTCAATCCTTTTTTAAGTCTCTTCTGAGTACAAACCAGGGCAGCAAAAGGGGGTTTCTCAATGCGCTTCAGTTGTACTCTCGTACCACGCAGAAATGGTTTGATGGTAGCTGTAGGAAGGGCCAAAAATTATATTGAAGACCATTGAGACACTACTTTACCATTCTGTTTACCTCGTTCTGAAATTTTCCATCTTAAAAAAGCTTTAATGCTATTTTACAAATTTTAAAAACCACTGAATAAGTTGCATTTGCTAGGATTAGCATTTGTCTCCCAGATCTTATTTATACCTTTTTTGCAGTCCTGTAAGTAGTGTACTCATTAGCTCACCGTTGTTTGTAGAAAAAATACGACAGAGTGGGAATGTCGTTTTTACGTTCTCCAGCTTCACTACCACTGGTCATGGTTCCCAAGATAGCTAACAAAATTCTATTTCAATACATCAAATTAATATAACCAAAAAAATTAAAAGTTGACAGTGTACAACCAAAACTAATGTGAATTTATTGATCAATTCCATCAGGTGAAACTACAGAACCTCCTGTAGAAGGAGCTGAACCACCACCAGAGGGGGAGATGGGGGTAGAACAACCCCCACTAGAGGCAGAACAACCCCCACCGCCAGAGCCTGAAGTAGAGGATCTTGGACATTACGTTGAACCTGAAGACACCCCGCTACTCATTGAAGGTACACAACCAACGAGATTAAAATCTGATTGCTAATCCAATCCCAAGTAGGATTGATTCTAGATCAAAACGTCCTTTTGTCAATGGGTTATTAATTAATGTCTAATTCAAAGGTCGATACTGGAGTATAACAAGACCAAGGTCTTTAACTGCTACGTAACAAACTGGGTAACAAATACCAAAATTATAAGACAAGAAAAAACAATCGCAAACATTTTAAAATTATCTCTTTGCTTTAATTTTTCTACTTTAAAGTTGTGAATATAGACAAGGAGGGGAAATCAATACCAAAGATACTGTAATATAAATGAATTGTTTTCCTATTTAAAAACTGCATGTTGACAATTAAAATAAAACTAGCGTACATGTTGGTTGAATTTGAGTAATTGCTAAGTATTACAGGCGTTATTTTAAAACGAATAACAGTCATCATTTCTGATGACTTTAAAAGATTCAACTCAAAGATTATAGAAATACTCAAGATGTACATTCGATATAATCAACATTTCTTGTAAATAACTTATAATTTTTCAAAAGCTGATCTTGTTTATTAGTGTTTTCTACAAATAGCCCACTCATAGCTGGCATTAGGTTGTCCATAGCGACTATAAATAAAAATAAAAAAACATTATTTCTATTTCTTCTCCTTGGTGGTGTTCTATGACTTTCCCATGTTTCCATAGTTTGCAAATCGGCTCTTTCGATGATTACTAAGAAATGCAACACAGTGTTAATTCAGTTTTCTTTTTAGTATAAAAAATTATCCAGGCTCTCTCGCTTTTATCCATTGTAATATTTCCGTCAACCCAAATTCAAATAGTAAAGATTTCATTTCAACCAAGTCAATAAATGTTTGTAGCAAACTTATTCACTGTTTACAATAATTAACATATGTTCTTCTTGCACTTTTATAGTGCGTGGAACAAGTGTAAAAATCTTTCACTTCCGGAGACCAGCACCATACTTTGGGAATCGACTAAATACATGTAAAAGAGTGAAAATCAGCCGGGAGGCAAGCTTTAAAATAATTAGGTCACGGGCAGTGACGTCATCAAAATGGCCGCTCAGCCAATAATAATAATGTCGCATATCTCGGAAACCGCGTAACCGATTTTGACGCATGACATCTTATTTGAAAGGTCTAATTATTATCTATGAAAAAGGTAATTACACCTTTAGCGGTTAAACCAACGGTTTCTTTGTATTTTAGAAAATATTAATTTTTTACGCCCCACAAAATGGATTTTTTGGATTTATCATTTGGAAAAATTAAAATAATCAAAATTTACTTTCCACCGTTGAATCCAGCTTTAAAAGATGAACAATTTAGTATTTTGAATCATCGCTCTATGTATATTGGTTACCGAGATATTGAAAGTAGTAAACACAGAACACTCTGTCCCCCATGTTATCCTTATGGGAAAAATAACATTCTATATCTCAGTTATTTTTAACGTATCTTAATACAACTTGGTATGTGGTTTCACCTAGTTGAGCTACTTGATAATGACTATAAAATATTTATATTTTACATTTACATGGCAGCAAACCTACATACTCATTTCCCATGTTATTCATATGGCGAATTTATGCATGATTATTTATAAACATTGTACTGTACTTTCTCAGCTTTTCCTTACTTTACAGCTTTAGACCTTTTCGGGAGTTTTCAGGACACAGATTGACTGAACACTTGTAAGAATTATGATACATTTATTATTCTCAGAACTGTTTACAAAAACTATTGACAAATGACTTCTACTTCGAAACCCCATAGACCAGGGCAATCTATTGGCGGTCCCTTGACGTCTTGGTCGATCGGCTCAAGACCCCTCTGTCCCGTTTTGCTGTCCTGGGTTCCTCACGTTGGTTCTCCTTCCTGACGCTGTCCCGTCGTAGCGACTCACAGAGGTCCTATCGACACGGCTCCTGCAGTCCTCCAACTGGCTCCGTCTCGGAAAATGCTGAGTGGGTTACTATCCCAAATGCAGCAGCTACCGTCGGTGTTACGCGTTCCGTTGGCAGATGCAGACTGCCGTCTCTCCCAGACAACTCTTTCTCTTCTTAAATAGGTAAGGTGGACCTCTTCATCCTCCTCCAGACGGATCTATGGTCCCGGGAGGCAGCTTTTTTGGCTACCGGGGACTTAAACTGAAATAAAACAGATGCCGGGGCTCAACACGCCAAACAGCTGCACCGGGATCAGCACGCCTCTAGTACTGGGGTGTACCGGGATCAGCACGCCTCTAGTGCGGGGGTGCCGGGGCTCAACACGTTTCTAGTGCATACCCCACCGGTGGCGCCTACCGACGGGGTCGGGCCCGGAGGCCCAACATGTCGAAGTTCCCCAAGAATGCTCCTTATATAGGGTCGTAACTCGTAAGATGCTTGGAGAGTGGGGGTAAGTACCCAGTATCCACCCCTGGCCGAAAGTACTGGGCACTTTTCCCTAATCACTTTCCCTCAGTACTTTTCCCTCGGGTCACTGAGCACCATTCCTCGGTGCTTTGGTGTTTTAGCCCATATTACATTACCCAACCTTGGGCTTCCTCAACACTTCATTACAACATATGCTGTCAAAACTTGACATTAAGCGTAATTTTAATTAATTATCGAAGTATTTTAAATTCCCTGAGTATGCAAGTTTTTGCAATTTAATCTTGTCTTGAAATAGTTCCTGCCTCCGTCTGAATTATTTCGGAATTTGTCTGGGGGAGATTCTCATCCAAGCATATAATATCAAGGCGTGGTTTTTTTCTTAGAAATTGAGACGAATCTTTTGACACCTCAAACGTTGAAATTTGCCCACAAAAAAGGGAGGAGTAGTGTTAACAAAAACGGCTTCGCGTATTATATACAATAAATATATAATACATTTTTTTATTGGTTAAAGGGAAATAACAGAGACGCCAAGCCGTATTTCATACTATTCTTCAGTTAAATACAAGGATTAAATAAACAGTCTAATGCTATGTAATAATATGTTTAAGTGAGGGATCCACAGTCCAAAGCCTGAAATGCATACTACTCTTCAGGTAGGGTAGCCACAAAAAAACAATCCATAACTGTGTTTTGAAAAGCCCAAAAGATTTTTACAAAAAAAAAAAATACTACGAATATTATATTCTTTAGGTAACCACTTTAATAATCTAAACGATCAATAACTATGTTTTAAGAAGCACAAAAGACGTCAAACCCTATATGAAAATTACTAGAAAAATGTAAACTCAAAAGGAACAAAAACAACACATAAGGATTTTATCACGTTTCTTGTTCAACAATTGCGACAAATTGCCATCAGATCTCTTAGTCTGACCAATCCAGGAAAAAAATATTTCCCAAAATAAAATTACTAATATTTATAAAACCCCCGTTGCAGTAGACCTGCATACTCAGTGAATTTCAAATGTTTAGATAATTAATTAAAATTAAGCTCAACGTCAAGTTTTGTCAACATAACCTGAGAAAGTACAGTACAATGTTCATAAATAATCATGCATAAATTCGCCATATGAATAACATGGGAAATGAGTATGTAGGTTTGCTGCCATGTAAATGTAAAATATAAATATTTTATAGTCATTATCAAGAAGCTCAACTAGGTGAAACCACATACCAAGTTGTATTAAGATACGTTAAAAAATAACTGAGATATAGAATGTTATTTTTCCCATAAGGATAACATGGGGGACAGAGTGTTCTGTGTTTACTACTTTCAATATCTCGGTAACCAATATACATAGAGCGATGATTCAAAATACTAAATTGTTCATCTTTTAAAGCTGGATTCAACGGTGGAAAGTAAATTTTGATTATTTTAATTTTTCCAAATGATAAATCCAAAAAATCCATTTTGTGGGGCGTAAAAAATTAATATTTTCTAAAATACAAAGAAACCGTTGGTTTAACCGCTAAAGGTGTAATTACCTTTTTCATAGATAATAATTAGACCTTTCAAATAAGATGTCATGCGTCAAAATCGGTTACGCGGTTTCCGAGATATGCGACATTATTATTATTGGCTGAGCGGCCATTTTGATGACGTCACTGCCCGTGACCTAATTATTTTAAAGCTTGCCTCCCGGCTGATTTTCACTCTTTTACATGTATTTAGTCGATTCCCAAAGTATGGTGCTGGTCTCCGGAAGTGAAAGATTACTAGGTAATATGTTGCTTGTTCCACGCACTATTAGTTTCTGACAACAGCTGGAGTTTCATAAAAAATTTTGTTTCCCATGTTAATCTTATGGAGGAATACGAAACTTTAAAGGGCCCCAGGGCCTCATTTTCTAATTAATTCCCTAAAAAAAGTTTCCTGCACAACTTCACGTTACGCTCTCGGTTCAGTAGTTTCGGAGGAGTAATTGTCACAAAAAACTGCTTGCGTATCAAATAAGTATAGAATAGATAAAAAAATTAACATGATTGAGTGGTTTGGTTTAATTACTGTACAGTGAGCAGCAAAGCAGAAAGTCAACATAATATCTTGTGTGTAGTTAAATAATAATTTAATTGATATATTATGAACGAGGAAACAGTTTAAAGAAAACAAATTTGGTATTTTCAGAGTCAAACAATCACTACATCAAGCTTTGCCATGAGATTCTCATCTGCTTTATCAAACAGGTGCTTAACATGTTTTGCTATGTAATTTTTAAGTTTGGTGATAAAAAAAATTGAGAGTTTTGGCGTCATGAAAGGCCTGTTTTCTAGTTCTACATACAGTGTAAATATCATCAATTTTATGTTTAGATGGAGTAATATAGTCTTGAGAATTCGCCAAAAGGTTCATATGCGAATGGAAAAAGTGTTATAAAATTGACAACATCAACGAATAATGTACAGGATAAATTAGATCTTTATCAGGACATAATTTTTTTTACAAGTGCTCAATTATTAACCAGTTCATTAAGAAAGTGTTTAAAATTCATATTTGATTTCATTTTATGAGTTTTTTACTCAGAAATCAATTCAAGAATTTTAACACAAATTCTAGTGAGTAACAAAAAAGTAACATGAATATTTTTAATGCTTTCTGTTACCTGTGGCGGATCTAGAACAGTCACAAGGGGGGGGGGGCAAACCTGGAGGTCTGGGGGGTTCAGGGGTACCCCTCCGAAAAATTTGTGTAAACTAAGTCTCCAAAATGGCAGTTTTATACTATTTCTTTGTCCAAAGTTAGTGTGACCAATTATTTTACGCAATGTGTATGCACTACTGTATTACACGCAGTTAAAAATATATTATAAAATATATTATGCCCGAGGGGGGCCCCCACACGTAGATCTTGACACAGCACCAATAAGTTAAAATTTGTTTTGTATTTTACAATAAGTAATCTTATTCTAAAAGTGATTCTAAAATTATTCTGTTTTTTTCAGCTTCTGCTTGATATTATCTTTCATCAGAGAATCAACTGAATTATTACCAGTTTTTAATTATTTAGTAAAGAGTAGCAGTCTAAATGTTTTAAGCAGTTATAAATTCAAAAAGCCTATATAATGGGTTTTATAACCTTGTTTTTTACTTTTTTCACCCATGTAATGTTTTGTGTTTTAGACTATTTTAATTTGTTTTGTTGATTTTTTAGTACACAACTTTGAAAACATATTAAGTTCTGCTGTTATTTTTGAGTTGTGACTGTATTTACCTTTTTCAATTACTGCAATATTTTAAGAAATAAATGTGTACTTATATTTAAATTTATTTGCATTTATGATTAAGGTGGCATTTAGATTTTGCATTTAATATGATTTACATCTTCTATCCAACTTGTTACTAAATTAGCATTGAGTGATGTAAGTAGATTCACTAACATGTATAACTAGAAGTTATATCTTTGTAAAAGAAGTAGAATTGTTGTATTTTATAATTTAATCTATAGGTATAATAAAGATTACATTGGAACTGTAGTATTTGTGTTAGTGTAGAATTGCATAACCATACCTCTCACCTCCATATGACTTCACAGCTGACTGCATTGAAACAACATTATGTTATAAGTCATTCAGTGTTTCCAAAACTGAAACACTTTTCCATCACTGAACATTCTTTTAATGTCCCACCTCGACATTTGTTTTTTACATGTACTACAAACAAATCCAAGGCATGAATGAAAGTAAAATATAAGTTTGTATCGGTGAGATCAAATTGTAGAGTAAAATATATTTGAAACTGCAATAAAACTTTGCAACCTGTAAACAACCTTTATGGAGGTTCTGTTTATTTGATCACTCAATAAAAAATCAAAATTTGACTTGACATCTTTATTATTTAGTCACTGTGTAAAACAAAACTATGTGAAAAAAGCTACTACAAAGTGAGATATTTAAGGTGTGAACTAACAAATAAAAAAAAAATAAATGCCTTGGCTAAGTTTATTACTTTATGTCCAGAATAACAAACCTTCTACAAACACTATATTCCAGTAGATTGATCCATAATTCTTTATTATATTAAACATTCAAACTAAAAGCATTCATATAAGAATAAAATAAACTGTAGTGTCACTAGTTAGGCTATATTTATGTGTACTTATGAGTAGGTAGTTTCTTGTGAGTTATTTAAATATCACACAACAAAATGTGTTGTAGACTATAACTAGACGTTTCTTTACATATTTTATTATAAGCATACCAGCAAAACTATTAGACAATTGTTGCTAACACATTTTTAGTGAATTTTGTACAATATATTAATATTCCTTATTTTACTTGTTATTAGAAAACATGGCTATTTGGAAAAACGTTACACTACGTAATACACAGATTATCACATGACATTATAAGGTGTTGCAGTTGCAATAAATGGATAATTTTAATAGTTTGCTTTTTGATAGTGATATTTTGGTTCAGTTTTGAAAGGTGAGGAAAACAATGTAAATGAAAGGTGTAGGCAATATGGCACATACTTTCTGCCATTAGCTTGTGAATAAAACATTTATGATGGGTAAGCGGTGGAAGTAATGATATTTTATAGGGTAAATGTCTAAAGTTGCAATAACCTTTGAACCGTAATGGGATTTGTACCATTTTCATTTAAATTTAAAGGAATACAACATACTAAATCTCTATCAAAATCTTTTGAGGCCATTTTGAGAAAATCCTATTTTTAAGTGATGAGTTTTTATGGAAAAATCACTATCAAAAAAATTAATTCCTGAAAAAAACCTGGATGCACTATGGATTAATGCCTACATACCAAATTCCATCAAACGGACTACAGGTGTGGTCTGTAGCTCTGTACACATCCACACACACACAAAGAGAAATCACTTCGAAAACTACTTTTCGCTGGATATCCACTCAAACTCAAAAATGTTGACGAAAACAATACTTTCTCCTTATACTATGGTATAGGGGAAGAAAGTAAAATAAGGGGGTTAGACCGATTTATTTTGAAAAGCAGATACCTAGTGTAGACACTAGATAGCCATGTTTCAAATTTAGTAAAAAAACTGTTGTAATATATTATAATTGAAAGCTGTTTATTAATCAAAAAAATGTACTCTCAGTTCTTTATTTTCAATTTCTAAAATAGATATGCAGCAAGCGCTCATGCTGTTGAGAAGGACTTCTAAAAGTCTCTCCATTGAAGACTTGGCAAAACTGTTGAATGAAGAAGGTGGGGAAATACAACCCGAAGGAGAGAGTACCCAGAATACTCCAGGGGTAGGGGAAGTTCCTACTCCAGAAACTGTGGTCGCTAGCGAAGGCACCGAACCTACTCCAGTAGTAGAGGGGGAAGCAGCATCGGCACCACAGAACGAACCATCAGCCAGTGATCCGGCACCTACTGAAGATGTGGCACCCCCTCCTGAATCTACTGAGCCTCAAGAAGCTTAAAAAAATCTGTTTTGCTTCTGTAGAAATCACATTCAAAACAAAAATGTCTTAGTTGATTCCTTAAAGATATGTAATTTGATTATTTTTAGTGGGTATCACACTTGTTCATTTTGTTGTTTAGGGTACAAATACATTTTCAAATTGTCTTATGTTGTTTGTTGAGTGATATGTGTAACCTTTATACATTTTCAGAATAAATTGACTACAAAAACATTGTCTACAATGTTTTTTTCTGAACCTTGCATTGTAGTTATCTTATAGATTCTAAATATAAGTGTACTGGTAAATAAACTTTCCAAAGGGGTTTCACAAAACTAAGTTTATGACTCAGTTGAACCATAGACAAAAAGAAATAAATATAGACTGTCAGCTGTGCTGCGGTTAGCGTATATTCCGGCGCCGACCGCTAGGGGTAATGTGTAGTTACGGCGCACACCGCTGCAGCATCAAGCGCTAGCGACCGTTTCCATAACAACTTGGTAGTTGGGAGTAGTGTTGCCAACTTTGGAGGAATTCCCCGGAATTGGAGTTTACTGACTTATTTAATATTAAGCTGTAAATTAATTTAAATGCCATAATTTATGGTATTTTTTTAATAATGTTTCGGGACCACGGCATTCAATGATGATGTCTACAGAGCCGCGGAGGATGTTCATGATGTCCTGAGGTCTACATTAATAGTTTGTTTATTTGCTTGTCATCTGGTTTGATATATATTATTGTTTCATGTTTACTTTAAGTTTTGGTTTTTGTTATTAAATACAATGAAAGAAGTGGCTCTAACAAAATGGGTTTTAATTTAATATATTTAAGGGCACAACATGGTGGCAGCGGTAAAGACCCAATAAATTGAGTAACAGGGTGTCTAATATATATGCTGCATTACAATGTCAGACTCAGAAAACTCAGATATAACAGTAAGAAGACAAACATCTAAAATGACACAACATTCAGCAACATTGGGCTTCATTGATAAATACTCCTTTAAACCAGAAGATTGGGGCCCATGGTTAAAAAAGTTCAATAGGTACAGAAATGCTACCAATTTAGATCAAATAGATGGAGAAAAGCAAGTAAATTTCCTTATAATATCCATGGGTGATAATGCAGAAAATGTATTAATAGCAGCAGGAGTAACAGAAGAAGATGAAAAGACTTATGATAAAGTGGTGGAAAAACTTAATAAGTATTTTACACCAAGGGTGAATTTGACCTATGAGAGAGCAAAATTCAATCAACGAGTACAAAAGCAAAATGAACCGATATCCGATTTTATAACAGATGTACATCAATTAGCTTCTTCATGTGATTACAAAGATATGAAAGACAGCCTTATTAGGGATAAACTCATTGTTGGAATAACAGATTCAAAGTTATCTAAGGAACTTCAACTGATGGCTGACCTAACCTTGCATGAAACAATAAATAGATTGAAACAAAGTGAAATTATAAAGAACCAACAAATTACTGTTAACAGATCAAGAGAACAAGAATTTGCAGAAATAGACCAAGTGAAAAAACATCCGAACTTGAAACAAAACATAAGACAATATACTTCTAATTGTTTTTACTGTGGAGGACAGAGGCATCCTAAGGAGGAATGTCCTGCTCAGAATATTGAATGCTACTACTGTGGATTGCAAGGACACTTCAGCCGATGTTGTAAAAAGAGACAGAATAATAAATACAGAAATCAGAACAATAAATACAGAAATCAGAACAATAAATACAGAAACCCAACCCTGAATCAAATTCAGGAAAATACCGAGAACAGATTGGAACAGGATAATAGAAGCGAGGACGGGTATTACATTAACAGAGCTGAAGTTAAGAAAATAAGAGCGACAACAAGGAACTACAATAAACAGAATGAATTTGAAATTGATGTAAAACTTGATGGGAAATTGGAACATTTCAAGATTGACAGTGGAGCCGACGTGACGATTGTGCCTCCAAGAATGGCTAGAAACAAATTATTGACTAAATCAAACATTGTTTTAAAAACACCTGGGGGGAAGTATTTAACAGTTTTAGGTAAATTTGAAGGTGTAATTCAGTATAAGAATAAAACAACTCGTCAAACAATATATGTAATCAATGGTCAAGAGGAAGCATTGATTGGGAAACCATGCATCTCAGCCCTAGGGTTCTTAAGGGTCATCAGAGGAGTTAAAAATGACATTCAGTCAAGTGAATATTGTAGCAACCAGAATATCAACACAGACCTACAGAATATCAAGAATAAATATCCAAGTTTATTTAATGGGATTGGTAAGATGAAGAAAGGAGCTCAACTTAAACTGAAACAAAATGCGGTACCGATGGAGTTAAAAACTCCTAGAAACATACCTATTCCATTAAGAGAAAAAGTGAAAAATGAACTTAAAAGAATGGTTGAAGCGGGAATCATTGAAGAAGTTTGCGGACCTACGGAGTGGTGTCATCCAATGGTGGTAAGACCTAAACCTAATGGCAGTGTAAGAATATGCATTTGCGACGAGACTTTCTGCACTGGGAAAAATATAATAAAAGTGCAGCAGTCGCAACCGTTTGCCGGGGATAGCTCAGCCTACAATGGCTGGGTAAAGTTCCAGGGTCTGCGATAAGGTCAGGGAAACCACTAGGCCAATAGCCGGGTCTAACCGGTATAGGACTGGCTCATACACGGGCACTGTGAACAAGTCAAAAACAAGTCACCAAAACAAACGTGCAATAATCACTACCAGGCCTACGCCGATTCTCCACACTCCTAGGGGGTCGTTGCTGACTACGCAACTCGGGCTTCGTCCTAACTATCCAATAGTTAAGCCCAGAGTGCCTAAAACACGGTGAGTAACACGACGACTGGCCAATAAAAACCACAACACGAGTTATCACCAGGCGGGGTCTACTAGGCCACTATAATCCAATACACAACTCTATTGCCCAAGCTAACAATCAAACGGTTCGCTCAATAATAATACCAGATAACAATACAAGTGCACTATAGGTAGAGTGACTACACCACTAGTAGCTGGTCTCAATAAATACCAAGCCAAACAAGCAAAACTAAATGGCAATTGCACTATTAAAATATTGAGCTACTTAGTAGCAGATAAATAAATATTAACTACGTTCCAAACACTAGATAGATATATTATCTGATAGCCGGTACTCCGCTATCCAAGCTACCAAGATAACGTGTTGGACTACCATTAAATTAAAATAATCGAACGAATATACAATAACAACCCTACTACTGTTACTGCTACTACCAACTTTATGTTACTTAGCTGGGCTTCTGTTAATAGGCTAATAATATTAGCTACTAGCCTACTGGCCACGTGTTTCCAACTACGCACGCTAAATCGTGCAGCCTAGGTTTGTCGGGCCTCAGAGTTATTAGTAATATAACTAACTCTTGGTACAACGCAAAATAATAACTACTACAGTCAATAAATTATATTATTTGCGCTCTAGCACCTGCCCAGAACCGTCAGGAATATACTTTAATATTATTCCTGACTAATAAATAAATCCTAACTATCGTCAGGCTTTGACTAGCACGGTTACAACTCTAACTCTCTAACTCTCTTAAACCAAAATATAATAAAACGTCGTCCACTCACCACAAGTGGGTTACTGACTCACTACCCAACTTGAATGCCGACACTCACTCCTTGAGCACCAATATCACACGACACCGTACACTTCTCTGTACCACCCACGTACGCCGGCCGTCTCCACTGGACACCAACACTGCCTTCTTCACTGTACGGGATCCACCACTCTAATGTTCGTCCTATACTGTCCTGAAGATCTAGGATATCCCAGGCTTATCGGCACTGATAAGCCGGGTCAAAGGGCGCTCGCTAGCCTCGCTGCCGCCGCTCGCTCACCTCAACAATCGGTGCGCGGCCAAATAGCAAAAATATACCCCCCTAGGGAAAATAACTCGTTACACCCCCCACTTACATCGGGATGAAAAAAAAGAAAACGGCCAAAAGAAAAAAAATCTTTGAACTCCGGCCAAAACAAAATACTCCGGCTCTCAACCCAATGATTCCTCTTTTACCACGGGTCTCAAAGCAAAACCAAAAACAAAACCACTTGATTAAACAAAACATCAAAAGAATAGCAAGCACAAAAATGCTATTTAACTAACCACCACCATGCATAACCAAGAATAACTAAGCATCGGTTCTTTCATGGTAGGTCTTAAGGTCTTTAACATGGACGACATGGGTCTCTCTCCTACCCTCGTCCTTTACCTCATACATATTAGGGGCCACTCGCTTGACCACGGTACAAGGACCCTGAAACTTAGGGGCCAGTTTGCCCACTATAGCTTCAGCCGCTGAGGACAAGACATGTAGTCTTCTCATAACTTGATCACCTCGATGGTATTGTACCTCACGCCGTCTAAGATTATAATATTTAGACTGGCGCTGGAAAGCCCTCCTCAAGTTCTGTCGACAACTATCGTATAACCTCTTAAACGCCTGCTCCCGGTCACTAAATACCTCGTCCACGGTTCTCTCACGGTCATCTCCAGGCTCCGGTCCTGTGGTCAGAGACGACCCGATTGCCCTAGGTAGCCTGAGATCTCTCCCAAAACACAGTTTGGCAGGTGAAAACCCAGTGGAGTCGTGAACGGCGGTGTTCATCGCGTATTGGAACTCGGCAATGAGTGCATCCCAAGTACGATGATTATCCTGAACAAACTGGGCTATCATAGTTTTGATAACCCGGTTTGGCCGTTCAACCGGATTGGACTGTGGGCTGTAAGGGGCAGTCTGTCGGAACTCGATTCCCCACTCTTTCGTCAGGTCTCGGAACACCTTAGAGACGAACTGGGTTCCATTGTCACTCATAAGAATCACAGGGGCACCAAAACGCAGCAATAGCCCGTCCTTGAATGCACTAGCTACAGCCTTGGCCGTAGCTGACCGCAGGGGTCTTATTTCAACCCACTTGCTAAACAGGTCCTGGAAAACTGCAAGAAAACGATGCCCACCTTTGGATCTGGGGAATGGACCCATCAAGTCGACCGACACCGAATGCCAAGGCCCTTGAGGGTTTCGAAAGTACATTTGTCCTGCCGGTTTCTGCTGCAATACCTTAAACTCCTGGCACGTGGCACAGGACCTAACGTATTCTTTCACGGCACGACGCCAACCCGGCCAGAAATAGTTTTCCCCAACCCGGGCAATTGTTTTCTTAACT